AAATACTGTTAACTGATGGTACATGGAGGGGATTATAATCATTGTAATGAAACAAGGTGTATGATTTGTTGAATGTAAAACTGATGATCTGCCCTGTGAACTTTCACTCAGTCCACAATAAAAACCTTAAAATAAAAAAAACCTTAATGTGCCAAAGGCTTCCTTGGTTAGTCACTGCTGCTTACCATTCTTATCTAACTTGGGTCCCATTTGACTCTCTTGATCTGCTTTTCCTGATACCACACTCTCCTCCTATTAGTGAGCCAACTCATCCTGATTTGCCCAAGTTTTCACACTGAGAGTCCTGTGCCTGAGGACCCCCTCAGTCCCAGATGAACTGGAACAACTTTGCAAGTTAATCTTCTCTTGTTCTGCAGTGTCTTAGCTTGGCTTTCCCCAAAAGCAAACATCGAGACAAAGATTCTTTTAAGTAGTTTATTTGGAAGGAAACATCAGCAAACAATTAGAGAAGTTACTCAGAGAAAGAGCCAGTAAAAGGAGAATTTAGAACGTGTTACTGATCAGGCTTAACACTGTAGGCAACTGGAGCATAATCCCCTGAGGACCTTGAGAGAATATCATAGTACACGCACCTCTGTGTCATCTCACCTGAGGGTTGAGGGAGCTGGGATATATCTACACAAAGCCCAGACTGTTCCAGGAAGCATTTTTCCCTGACAGTTCCCACCTGCCATGTGGCAGGTCAAGTGGACTCTGGTGGCAGCTGCTGACCATAGGAAGTCAGGCTAGTAAACACTGAGATGGTGAGGACTACAGACAGGGGAATGGCATTACCACATCTGCTACACACAGGATTCCACTCTTGACCTACTTCTCAGTTGACAAGGGAAGTTCTAAGAACTTCAGCATGAATTTATGAATCACCAGAATTTCAGTGTATTGTGTTTCTTAGTATTTTTCTTGACTGTGTCTATTAATGGCAGTTCATCTTTCCTGTTGCTTAGGCCAAAAACTTTAGAGTCATTCTTTTTCTTTCTATCACACTACACATCCAATTCACCAGCAAGCTCTAGTGACCGTGCCTTCAAAATAGATCCAGAATTACTCTTACCTTCACAGTCCCTGGCCCACGCTACCATCATTCCTCTCGTGGATTCTCATAATAGCCTCAAGAGAACCATACGATTAATAACATACCACTGTTTTGTCTCTTGTTGTTGTTGTTAAGTGCCATCGAGTCGATTCCGACCCATAGCGACCCCATATAGGGTTTCCAAGGAGCAGCTGGTGAGCTTGAACAGCGGACCTTGCAGCTCAAACGGCTTTGCAGTCTGGCTCATTAACCCACAGCGCCACTCCAGGACTCCTGATTAGCCAGCAAACACTTTATGTAAAGGAACAGAGAGAGTAAATATGTTATTCTTTTCCACCACATTCACCACATAACTCCTTTCCCATCACAGCCAGCTGAGACCAGAGTTACAAGGTCAAGGGCGCTCAGGGATAACTGAAGTTTACAAGTAATCCTCTGAGAGTAGCAGGTGCTGAAGAAAGAGACCAAGCATTGGAGGGACAGACTGAGACCAAATCCCAGTTCTGCCATTTACCTGCTGAATGGCAATGGACAAGCCATGAAATCCCGGCTGTAAAACGAGGCTGGTAATTATTCCAACCTCACAAAGCTACTGCTGTTGTTGTTAAGAGCCGTTGAGTCAATTCCAACTCATAGTGACCCTCTATAGGGTTTCTGAGGAGTGACTGGTGAGTTTGAACTGCTGACCTTGTGCTTGTCGTGTAGCACCACACCAGGACTTGTCACAAAGTTGAGGCAAATATTAAATAAGAACCACCGTATGCATCTACCAACACATTCTTGAAAAAGCACGACTATTATTTTTATTAGCAAGAGCATCCAGCCTTTGTTTCCTTGGACCCAAAGTGGTTAAAAGCAGACTTCCTTCATGTTAACCTCCCTGACCTCAATTCTAAACCATGAGAGATGCGGAAGTAAGATAGGTTGGGGCCAATATTACCATGGTCCCCCTGCAGTGTGATTCAGAAATGTGACTACAACTCCCTGCTTCCTCATTTCTCACCACATGTATTTCTGAAATGTAGAAATTTCCCCTAGCCCCAGAGAAGCAGTCACTTGAACGAAGATCCCCTGGGTGCAGGGCATACAGTAGGATTTCCACCCACTCTGCGGGCTGTGAATAATATTGTGGGGTGGGGTGGGTGCTGGGTTGAGAACTCATGCGTTGGGTACAGGAGAGTGGAGGTAGGAGACAAGGGAAACGAAGCAGAGGGGAAGTGATCCCCAACCTCCCTACCTCCCACCCCACCCCATAGTCTCCTCTTCTCAGATTTTCCTCACCTTAATGACTTGTTTTCCATCAAAACAGGAAACGCTTTGCTATTAGTTAGTGACATTTGCTGATAAATAATTTTTGGTTTGGAAAAAGTTAAGTAATTGCCCAACCATGTTGAGCTGTGCTCAATGAAGCAAAGTACCAGCCCTCTAGGGTACATTTTTTAGTTGTCATGATGATGGGGGTGGGCAACGGCCAAGAACTCTAAACATCCTGCCACAACAAGAACCACATGAGAAAGAGGCATATAAGAGCTTATAGTTCAATAAAGTCCACACAGAAGTAAAATGGATTTTGTAACCAAGGATCTTTACAACCCACAGCTAGCACATATGGGTAGATATCTCCACGTTTGTCCTAGAGACCTGACCAAAGACTTGCTTTCAACTGATCTGCATTTCTAGAAGTTTTACAGGCCAGATCTCATCAGCAGAAGTCAAATTCCACCACCTGGATTGAGCAAGCCTCACCAAGAAAGTTGTTTGTCAAGAAATTTTCCCTCACCCACTTCTCAGAAGCTGGTCTGCACCAGTTCAGAACCAGCCCAGCCCCAGTTCATCATGGTTCAGAGGAAATCGAGGCATTTCTGAGTTCAACGTCCAACATAGAACTGGATTCAATGTCAAACATAAAGTCGCAGGGCAATCCGTTATCAACAGCTGAGATAAGCACACCAGATCCAAAACTGAGAGACCACCACCAAATCCTGGATGTCCTCCAGCTCACCATCCATTTGGACAAGCCCATGGCCTTGCCCTAGAAAATGGCTCAACTTGCATCCCAGGGACTTGCTATTGCTACATCCAGGTTGCTGATCCAATATGGTCACATCCATGCCTGTTCATGAAGAGGCAGGACCTCTGTAGAACAGAAGGTGCTCATCTCCAAGAGCTGAGGGGCACTGATCCTGCCCCCAGCCTCTTCCCTGAGCTTCAGCAGGAACATTTCCGCTCACAAATCCAATGCAGCGTTTTATCACATGAGAAGTCATTCCAGGAGCCACCTACGTTCATGCTGGCACAATCTTCTTCTTGGTGGTTGTTGGGTTCCTCTGAATTCCAGAAGCTAGATGAAGCAAAGAGGGTAGAGGAAGGAGTGATAAGTATGAGAAACGTGGGACATTTTTAGAGTGTGAAACTGTTCTGTATGATATTATAATGGTGTCACCGTGGCATTGTGTATTTTCAAAATCCATAAAACTGTCCAATAGACATATGAACCCTAGTGTAAATTATGGGCTTGAGTTTATTATCTCAACATTGGTTCATCAATTGTAGCCAAGGTACTACACGAATGCACCATTAAAAAACCCATTACCATCAACTTGATTCCAACTCCTAGCAATCCATCAGGACAGAGAAGAACTACCCCCATAGAGTTTCAAAGGCTGTCATCTTTACCAAGGAGTGCTGGTGGTAGAGTGGATTGCACGATGGGCTGCTAACCATAAGGTCAGCACTTTGAATTTACCAGCAGCTCCTTGGAAGAAAGATGAGGCTTTCTGGTCCTGTAAAGATTTACAACCTCATAAACCCTATCCAGGGTCACTATGAGTTGGAACCAACTTGCCAACACACAACAATAGCAATCTTTACAGAAGCAGGTTGCTACATCTTTGTCTCATGAAGTAGCTAGTGGATTTGAACCACCACCCTTTTGGCTAGCAGTCAAGCGCTTAACAACTACAACACCAGAGCGCCCTACACTAATGGACTATGTATAAGAAAATTGGATTAATGGGAACTATATGATTTGTTCAATTTTTCTATAAACCTAAAACAGCTAAAAAATAAAGTCTATTCTAGAGATCAGATGATGTATTGCATTGGGCAAATCTGCTGCACAGGAATTTTTTAAAGTGTTGAAGAACAGAGATGTCAGCTTGAGGACTAAGGTGCGCCTGACCCAAGCCATGGTATTTTCAATAACCTCATATGGATGCGAAAGCTGGACAGTGAATAAGGAAGATCGTAGAAGAATTGATGCCTTTGAGTTGTGGTGTTGGAGGAGAATACTGAAAGTGCCATGGACTGCCAAAAGAACCAATAGATCTGTTTTGGAAGAAGTGCAGCCAGAATGCTCCTTGGAGGCCAGGATGGCTAAGCTTCGTCTCTCATACTTTGGGCACATTGTCCGGAGAGAACAGTCGCTGGAGAAGGATGTCATGCTGGGTAAGGTGGAGGGTCAGAGAAAAAGAGGAAGACCCCCAACAAGATGGCTCAGCCAGGTGACATCATTGATGGCGTCAAGTGTGGCAGCGGTAGTGAGGTTGGCCCAGGTTCGGCCATTGTTTCGTTCTGCTGTGCATGGGGTCGCTATGAGTCGGTTCCGACTCGATGGCACCTGACAACAACAACAACAACAGTCTAGATGGTGCCCTGGCTACCACTACCAATTGCTCTGAAAGGGATCACATTAGAAGGTCCTGGATAGAGTGGGAGAAAAGTGTTAAAAAGAACGTAAAATTGTAAAAACACCAGATATACTGGTTGTACAGCAACAGGTGGAACTCCTGAGACCATGGCACCATTCAGGTCTGGTTCCATCCAGTGCTTATCCCACAGCATCGCAGCAGAACTTTACCTTCCCGAACTTGTTCTTTGGTCTGAATATTTTCAGCCTTTCAGAATTTGCTGGAGTTGTCATATCATCTCCTTGGACCTGGTTTGCCTGTCCTAGCTCAGTCCCATTTCCCTGTTTGCCAGAACAGTCCCCCTCCCCAATTCCTGAGTCCCTTTCTGCATCTGGTCAGTCTCCACTTGCTCTTTTAAGGAATCCCTCCTTTGCATTAAGATCCTTCCACCCTCCAGGTGTTGTAATGCTTAGAACAGGTTTCCTTGCTGCAGAGGGATTTAGGTACATGGAATTTATTAAAGGAATGCTGTGAGGGAAGCAGTGTCCCTGAGTGCAAATAGTTTAGGGCTTGACTACTAACCAAAAGGTTGGCAGTTTGAAACCACCCAGAGGTACTGGGGGTGAGGGTGGGGGAGGAGCTGGCAATCTGCTTCTGAAAATCCACAGCCTTAAAAACTGTATGAATCATTTTTAGAACTTAAACCAAAAATATCACCTGAAATCCTCTTAAAACCAAACAGTAGAGAACAAACAAGATGGCGGATCCGGTGGACGTATAGCAGAGAGCTCCGCCAACAACAACACAGAATACCCGACCAAGCAGGTTCAGGGGATGGTCCCAGAACTCTGAACCACATATAAAGGAATACTTAGAAGGTTGGAAGGCTCACAGCTGGGGGAATTTGTGGCAGAAGCAAGA